AGAAACTTACAAATTGTATACAATGTCTTGCCTCCCAAAATCCAGCATACATTTTCTCTGGAGCATTTGTTTAGATGATTAAGAACAGAGTTGCTAACATAAAACAAAATTCTGGTACTTGTGTTGGGAATTATAATAAAAATGTGTTTGAACTCAGTAAGGACTTTGTGTGAATATTCTATGCTAGAATAATGGGGTATTGTGATCCATCTGAGTCTGTGCTTATTCCCAAGAGGGACTAAAATAACTGGCCAGGTTTTATACTTGATGTAATCATTCGTATTTCAGTGGGTGTTTTCTGCCTGTAAGGCAAAGCAAGCTCTTTCTGATCTTTGCATTCGTGAATTTTAGAGAGAACTCCATAATGTGTAACACACTGTTTTAATCTTTAATGTTGGGGCTGTCTTTATGTCACTGATGTCATTCAAGACTTTCTATAGCTCTATAAAAGCCAGGTCACTTACCAGACAGAGGGACAACTAAATTAAGATAAGCTTGCCAAGAGTTGTTAAAATGTAAAATGTTTCAAATAAAACCTCAATGTCAGATGTAGTTTCTTAAGTATGGAAGCTCTTTTCTCATAATCTTTAAGACCATAGGGGTTTAGAGGTATACCTTCCAGATGTGTTCAGTTACCTTAAAAACGTTAGAAGGAAAAGACTTGAGCCATCAGAGAATTTAAAGTGAGATTTCAGCGATTCCTTACAAAGGCTGAAAATTTTATTTTATAATAATCACAATCTTCCAATGCTGTTTAAACTGGATGAGTAGGATATTATTCCTAAAGTAATCACACATGACTCAGAGGAAGATTTGTGTAGTACCATATTGTAGGATACAATTTGAAGGTATTTATGTAGGTCAAACTGACAATATGAAAAAAATGTGTATGTTTTACCTAGTAGATTTCTAGTAGTAGTCCTGTTGACTGTAGTTAAGTTATCATTAACTGACTTAAGGTTATCAATGTATATTTGAAGAGATGCATATGATCATTTTATTTAGAATCTGGGTATTTTCAGAGATGCATGCCAGTGCCCAAGAAGTCTATCAGAGTCATTTTAGCAGAGTAATGACATATATGCAAATGCCTCTTCCCTTTTGGAGTCTCACTGAATCGGTGGAAGGAGAGCTTTATGTCATTAGGACCATTTATATATGAAAACCAAATGTTATGACAAGGTCCTTCCAGGAAATAAGCCTGTTTGCCTAGAATCCAAAATGGATCCATATCATACTTGATTGCATACTGTAGCAGATCAAGTTATAGAGAAGCTTCATGCTTATTTGAGTAACAAGATGCAGTCTTAAAATAACCTTGCATTTAAATGATGATAATTTTTAATTCTCTTTCCATATTTTGCCAATATAAGAGAAAGTATCAAAGTGGCAAAAAGGTAAAATTAAAAAGTATTACCCTTATTTCTACATTTTTCCTTAAATTGGAAATTCTTCATAGTACAGTAGTAACTACTTTCTATGTTATGAACAAATGATGGAAAGTAAATGTTGCCAAGATAGGAGAAGCTACCTTTCTGCATTATTATGCTAACATATTTGGATATTTTTTCGGAAACTAAGAAATATGCCTATTAAAATGTGAATTGGATGCTGAGAGAACTTTTTTGATTTGAGGGAAGTTGTATTTGTCATTTTTTGTGTATTTTCACACATTTAAATGGTTATTAGTGGTGGTTGTAATTTTAATGCCACTTGTTACAACTAGGAATTTCTTGCTGGTGATTTCAGCTAATAATATCATTTATTCTGTGCTTGATTTAGTCAAATTTTGCCTATCTTTCTAATGTTCCTTAACACCTTTTCCATTCTTTTTAATTTTGTATTCATTCAGTTCTTGTTCAAAGGTAGAAAATTTTTTAAAAGATTATAATTTTAAATTATCACAAAGACTTCCTTTGGGGTTAAGCAGCTATTTCCATTTTCCCATGAAGCTTCTATTTTACCATACTTTATTTTTTCATTGCTTAATGTATAATTTTTTTAAATAAGATTCTCAAGAAGAATGTTTACTTTTTAGTGTGGATTAGCTTGACAAAAGTAATACAATTAGTAGACGAAAATATACTGAATATATTTAATATTTACTGTGTGTTTTATTTGGTACAAAGCATACTGATTAGCCAGATGATATCTGCATGATAAACCAGTTGAAATGTTTTCTGTGATTTATCAGTTAATACAATAACTAGCCAGTTGTGTTAAACAATACGGTTGACTAATTTCCGTTTTTCTCTGAAAGAATAAGTTGTTTTTTTCCATCACTTTAATTCATTGAACCAGCTGGCACAATCAAGCCTGTTATCCATTTAAACATATTTAAGAGTCTTTTTCTTCTACGTATTTACTAATTTAGCTCATCAGGCTAACTGATGATATTAATAGCAACTCCTTCCTGAAAATAGAAACCTAGAGAAAATAGCAATTTGAAAAAAGCCAACATGGCTAATATTTAAGTTTACTAGAAGGGGAAAGACACACATACCCTAAGGAATCCTAGTAATAATCCATGTAGAATATTAGTAATAGTCCGGGCAGAATAAAATATTCTGTTGGCCCTTACACCACACTTCATGGCTATTTAAAATATACTTGGAAGCACTGACTATTATTTCTCTTTTTTCTTTCCATCCTTCCTTTCTTCCTCTTGGTTTGGGGAAGGCAGAGATGGGCACTAACCAAGAAAGATTATCTTTAGTTCTATAGATGGTAAAATAAAAGGAGAGAAGTCTTCAGAATAGAAATAGTGACCCTAAAACAAAAGAAAGAATAAAAATTTGTTAGATTATTTTTTTAAAGATTTTATTTATTTATTTGAGAGAGAGAATGAGATAGAGAGAGCATGAGAAGGGGGAGGGTCAGAGGGAGAAGCAGACCCCCGCTGAGCAGGGAGCCTGATGCGGGACTCGATCCCGGGACTCCAGGATCATGACCTGAGCCGAAGGCAGTCGCTTAACCGACTGAGCCACCCAGGCGCCCTGTTAGATTATTTTTAATTGCTTATGTTTTTAGAACTTGTTCTTAAGTTCATTTGTAATATTAGAATATTTTAAAATAAGAGATACTAGAACATTTAAAAAGCATAGTGAATATAAGTTTTTCTCTCACAATATATTTGTTACAAAGTTTTGGAAAGTAATGTACTGCATAATGGACTTTTTATATTTCTATAATGATGAACTTATTTTTTATGTCATCTGTATTTAATACCAAGATGTCCTGACAAAGAGGAAAGCAATTATAAATAGAGTTCCATCACAGTGACTATATATAGTGTGTCTAAAGACTTGATCTAAAAAACCTATCATTCAGAGATGTGTTGTAGAGGCATGTAATACATCACTAGAAACAATACACTTCTTCATTTCCTCAGGCTTCATGGTGTTCATCCATACAGATGACTCTTGATTACCTACATAGTCTCACAATTTCCCATTGCCAAGATTTTTGTTGCTAAAAGACACATAATTTAACTGGACGCTCTTTCAAAATCAGCATAGTTAACCATAAGTCTACTGCATACTCTCATTATATTTCAAAATTCCTTAACATGTAAAGTTTCTGACTTCTTTTACATCATATGAGATAGAATATTGTAGAGTCCCAAAATAAATTATCAATTCTTTTTCCCTTCTCTCTTTTTCTTTAATTTCTATTTCACATAGATTAAAACTTAACTGTCATTTTGGCAGGATGTGTGATTTCAACCTATTAAGGTGAGCCGTGTAATAAGGAAGGTCAAAAACCATGAACTGAGTCATAAACTATGTAGCCTACCCCAGTGGCCTACATTGTACATTGTATTTATGCTTGGTTTTTTGAACATTTTATCTGTACAAAAGCATTGTCACAATATAAAATAGCTGTAATATGCCATTTTTTGTCCAGCAATACATGTTAAAGTAATAGAACTGCGGGTCTATATAGATTTGCCAGAAGTGTTTTCATATTGGCTAAAATAGCAACATCTTATCATGTGAAGATACAGTTCATTTTGTGATCGATCATTACCTTTGTGTTTGCGATTGCACTAAAATTCTTATTTTTAATATGTTATTGTATACATAGCTAATCAGTAAGATCTGTAAGATAAACATGAACATTTGTGAATTTTAGTCTCACTTTAGGATAATTTTTCAAACCAAAAGATGATTTCCAAATGCTTTGTAGCTTAGAATTGGGAGTGCTCTTAAGTTAATGCATCCTGGTATATCGCTTTATTCAGTATATATGCTATCTTAATTTTTTAAAAAGTAGTTCATACTTAAACAGGCATGAAAATGCAATCTATAGATGTGTATCTAAACATTACTTTAAACAATGATAAATGTGTGTGCCTATGAAAGGTGAAATGATTGTGTTACATTAATCCCTATACTTTTGAAGATGTACCATAAAATGACCTTGAGAAGACAGTTAGTTGTGTTTATATTTATGAAAAAAGAAAGTATTCTCTCATATTGGCCTTTCATCCTCAACTTTTGTAACCTCTTCTGAGAATCTGTGACATTCTGCTAACTTAAGAGTATGGTATATCTTCTTTGGGGAAAAGATAAGAAATATCTTTCTTGTGTATGAGTCAGGATGTGAGTGAGCTAATTCTTTTGAAAGTTACTCTTTATTATCTTCCCTTCAAAGGTGGGATTCCAACAAAGCAAATTTAATTTAAATAAGTTTCTGACTGTGAAATAAATCTTACCATTATGAAACACTGCATGGTGCTTTTACCTTGTAAATAGCTTTTACGTGGTTATGCCATAGAATAAGGTGAGTTGAGAACTAAGTGGGAACCTCTAAAGTAATAAATTGTTTTTGGAGATTCAAAGGAATATCTGTGTGCTAAATAACATGCTTCTTGATTTCAGCCAAGTTCAAAAACTTTGCAGAAATAGATAATTTTAAAATGATAACTATGTGTCATTGTTGTTGTTGTTCTGTGTGTTGTTTGTGTGCGTATGTATTTTCTTTTTCATTTTAACCAGCCTCTTATACCTAGAAGTCCCACAAGCAGCGTTGCCACGCCTTCCAGCACCATCAGTACACCAACCAAAAGAGACAGTTCTGCTCTCCAGGATCTCTACATTCCCCCTCCTCCTGCAGAACCATATATTCCCAGGTATAAAACCAACCATCCTGTTGTTCTGGGCAGCTTCTATCCAAAGACTAGCCTAAATGTATATAAACTGTGAAGTAAATTCTCAAGGAGCACCTTGAATATTTTCTTAGATAGGAATTCTGAACACATTCTGGAAAACTATTGCATTGTAGAAAATGCACTTTGGTTAATAATAGTAGTAACAATAATTAATTTGTATTAAACACTATGCGTTAAATATCTTGTAAACATTATCTCATATAATAGGAAAGAGTAGGAAAGTAATAATAAATAAAAATTAGGATTCTTTTAATAAGTAAGGAATAAGTGAGGATTTTTGGCTCAGAAGCCCCAGAAAATCTCAAGTTACTTTGAAGCATTCCATACTTTTTTCTAAAAGAGGATGGTATAGATAACTTTCATGCCTTCTTATATGTGTACAATGAGGGAGCTTTTGGGGGAGGGGGTAGATGATGAGAAGGGAGAGTATTTTTCCCCCTAATACTTCTGTATCTACAATTTCTCCTTGATTAGTTCATTAATGTTTCTGTCAGAAAGCAGAAAAATTTGCAAGAGAATGGGTTGCCTTTAGAATCTATTTTCTAGATTTCTTGAGGCTGTATCTCCATTTCATTTCCAGATTTCTATTTGAAATTCCTGGCAGGTGTGGAAGATTACAACTTTGTGCCATAAGGCATTCTGTCCAAAAGCATTCTGACATCCAGCCTTGTGGAATATAAAAATTATGGAAAGGGGCCAGCACTAAATGGGGATAATTAATACCAATCACAAAGAATTTGGTTCCATTTTTAAATTAGTTGTGCAGTCATTCAAAAACAGTAATTTAAGATCTCTTATTTTCAAGCCACGCTTCATATTAAATTTCTTCAGTATATAAAAGAACTGAAATTCCTTGTTTTAATTAATTTTCATTATTCTTTAGTACACCTAATGTTTCATTCTCTCAGATATGATGGTACAGACATTTTACGATCTAAATGCCACATGACAGCATGGTGTGTCCGCAAATACCGTATTGTTGTCTAGTAATAAAACTGTAGTCCATTTTATAAACATTTTAGTTCTTAATTTTGAGAATTAGATGTAGCTGTGGGAACATGGTTTATGAGAAGATATAATTTACTAAACTGGCATTTCACAAATCTTTTTAGTATATAATTTATAGTCTTATGTTAAATTTACAATCAGATGTACAGATCCATCTGATATCCTAGCCAAATGCAAGTTGCTTTTAATTCTATTAAGATGGTGTCAGACTTTCTGAATACTCTTGCATGAGGAGCAATAAAAACGTGTGTTTCGAATAGTGACTCTTTTGATTTGTTTTAATTTTAATTGGAAAGATTTTTATTTCAATGCAAATGATTATTTAAGAGACCTTATTCCAAGGGTTATATGTACAGGTAAACATCAGATTATTTTTATCAATTCTCTGCAGTTTTTTAATCTTTCCTTTTCTCTTGTGTAGGTAGGAACTTATTATAAAGAAAGTATTTCCTAGACAGGAAGTGTTTAAAATACACTTCAGAAGGGCACCTGGGTGGCTCAGTCGTTAAGCGTCTGCCTTCGGCTCAGGTCATGATCCCAGCGTCCTGGGATCGAGCCCCGCATCGAGCCCCGCATTGGGCTCACTGCTCCGCGGGAAGCCTGCTTCTCCCTCTCCCACTCCCCCTGCTTGTGTTCCTGCTCTCGCTCTCTCTCTCTCTGTCAAATAAATAAATAAAATCTTAAAAAATAAATAGAATAAAATAAAATACACTTCAGAAGACAAAAGAATAAAATGATTGAGTTCTGTCCTCTGAGTGTGGTGGAGATAGGGTTATGGGAATGTACTGAAGCCAATAAAAAGCTTGAACATGCTATTTAAAAATACTAAAGATATTAGAAGTTGAAGTATCAACATGGTGGTACTTGTTTTGTCAGTATTGCTTGAAAGCTTCATACTTTTCAGTAAACCTCATAATCACTTTAATTATTCTAGTTTTGATTTAATTAATTTAATTAATTTAATATTTCAGAATATTAAAATATTCTAGATATATTTTGAGTCAAATTATTGTTTATCCAAGTCACACAATCGTTTGATATAGCACAGTCAGAACAATCCATGCATCAGAGTTCCTTTTTACTGCAGCCTTGTTTATATAAATTATCTGCATTTTCTGGTTTGACTTGAAGTTATGGCATAAATACAGCCTTGGCACTTTTTTCCCATTTTGTCATTTTGATGTTAAATGGGGTTCACCTAATTTAATTCATCTGAACATTTCTTTTTTCCTATATTAAAAATTTTTGTTTATGTAAGAGAGGCATGTTAATGTTCATTTGAATTGTAAATAATAAAAGCTTTCTCACCTTAAATCCAAAAAAAACCCTTAAAAATGGTAGGGCCAGTTGTCAGGTGGAAATTTTTTCATGGGCTTAGAATTCTTTGAACACATTTATTCCAGATTCTCTAAAAGAGAAGACACTCATGTATGTGGAGTGAGTAAAATTTGGTCAGTTTTTTGTTATATGTTTTATGACTGTATGTAGCTTCGTTATCATAGTATATAGTGCATTTACATACTTAACCAAATTTCTTTTTCCATGACAAAAATCAGGAATTTGTAGGTCTTTGCACAACTCTGAAGTTCAAGCACTAATTTCTCTCATTAATTTTACTCTGAACCATTAATATAAAGAAAATCCACTAAAGCAGTGTTTTACCTTTTCATCTGTTTCCTTAAATCCTTTTCAGAGTAAAAGTGTAGATTTATTACATACATAACATTTAAGAAAAGTTTTTTTTAATCTGTACAGCAGGACAAGTTAGTATGTTGAGTTATTCAGAGACTCATGATGTGAGTACATACACACAAGCACACATACAGAGATACACAATTGTGCACACACTTCTACACACAACACATGTATCAGTTCATTCTACTGCAAAGATTGTTTTTTGTTTGTACATTTCTTAATTCTACTTTATTTGTGTGCATTTCATATAGACATGTTTAATAAATCTTCCTTGTTGGTATGAGGTGAGGCCTCCTTTCATATCATTACAGAGTAAGTAATACCAGCCCTTGCAATTTTCTGCCACGGGGATGTCCATATAAATAGAGCATGCTGAATTAACTAGGGCTGAATCACTCTCTGATCTCAGCTGCATTAACATTCATGTCACAGGCCTGATAGGAATGTCTGCCCATTTATAGATAGGCAAAACCTTACTCCAGTGCCACAAGTTCATTAGGGCTGTTTTCAAGCTAATTGCAGTGTCAATTTCTTTTTGATAGAGGACTAACAGTAACAAAAAGCACCAGGGAATTTGTTCAGGAAAAGTTTTTAGCTTGCTGAAAATGAAATTCTGCCCGGATTTTATATTTGTTTTCTTCATGTTGCCTAAGAAATAACTATCCAGTTGCAATTTAGCTATAAGCAATACTTTCATTTTAAAAAATAAAAGAGTGAATAGCAATGTGAATGGCATTGTCAACTTGTGATGTGTTAAATACATGAGACAGCTTGCTGATTCAATCAGTCTTAAGAATATCATTTACTGCTTTCAATATATTTCACATACTAGGAATATAGCTCTCTTCATTTGGACAGACCTAATCTAGACATTTGCATACACCTACAAAAGTGTAGTATACCCTAGTATGGAAGTATAGAAGTATAATATTCTTGCTGAACTATAACTCATATTTTGGAATTGATGTTAGATTTAGAAGCTCATCACCATTTTATAAGACAATGTCAATTAAAATTGTGTTCTTTTTATCTGTCTTGTTATAATTTAGTTAATTCTGTTGATTTAAGATTTCAGTCTTAGCACTTAACATAAAATTAAGTTTTTATCTGGTTTGATAGCATTCACGGCACTGTTGAGGGTAGAACTGGAAGCAATTAAGAACTAGGAGGAAATAAAATTAATGATCTGCAAGGGAGGAAACATTGCATTTACATTCACAGTTGTGTTCTAGAAGACAGGCTTTTCTAACAAAGACTTCATAGCAAGTCATAGTGAAACATATCATAAAATAAGCAAGATTCAATTTAACCCATCCTAAATGGAGTATTTCTACCAAAATACCACTCATTAGGGGCCCAATTGCCTGGGCTATGTATATTAATACTATATGTGAGTAACAGTTTTAGGGATCCCATAAATGATTAGATTTTTCCCTTTTAGAATCCTATAGAAAATCAGTTTGCCATCATCTTAAATTCCATATTTTGTCAGGTTTCTCTGCCTTCTCTCCACAAGAAATGTTGCTGATGTGCAATGAAACTTTGATCTATCCATTAGAATTAGTTCTATGAATGTACATTTTTAATATTAAATGAGATACATAGATTTTAAATACTGAAAGTAATTCTATTCAATAAGGTTTATTTTAAATTAATAACAAGCTTTTTAAAATTCTTATAATACCAATTTATAAAATGCTAATTTGGTTCTTAAGGCTGCAGATACCCTTACAAAAGTGGTAGTTCTTAAACACATCTTTTTTAAGCAGTGCAAATACTACTGTGCATCAATTAGTTAAACTGGCACAAGAAAGCTATATTGTTAGCATTGTTAAACTTATACCTACTGTCTTGAGCACTAAAAGTAATTTATGTGCTGACATGAACATAACACAGTGAAAATGGACTAGAGCAGGAGTTAGAAGATCCAGGGTCCATGTCCAGTGATGTCATTTATTAGCTGTATGACCTTTAGGCGAATCATTTAACCTCTCTGATCCTCAGCATTTATTTTCCTGCAATATAGGAATAGTTAAAAATTGCCTTTTAAACCTCAAAGAAAGTTTGAAAAGATCAGAAGATATATTGTATGAGAAGGATATTATGAACTGTTTTAGACCCTCTCTGCCATTTTACCACCCTAACACTTTCCTGTATCCTTCTCCTTTACCTTTCCTTTTCTTTAGGGATGAAAAAGGAAACCTTCCTTGTGAAGACCTCAGAGGACATATGGTTGGCAAGCCAGTGCATAAAGGATCTGAATCACCAAATTCATTTCTGGATCAGGAATATAGAAAGAGGTTTAATATTGTTGAGGAAGATACTGTCTTGTATTGCTATGAATATGAAAAAGGAAGATCAAGTAGTCAAGGAAGACGAGAAAGCACGCCGACTTATGGTAAGAATTCTTTTCTTACATTGACAGGAGAACATATGTCTCAGATGAGAACCTCTATTTCTTTTCATAGGCTTTTGGGTTATGAAAATTATTTGATTACTTGATAGCTTTTGAATCTTTATAATTGATCTGTGTCTGTCATGTGCTTCTAAGTGGAATCTCAATATGAAGCATGACATTAAAAATTATTCTAAATTTTCCAAAAATAGGTAAGAACAGTAGGTAGCATTTTAGCTCATTAATGACTTAAGGAAACCTTCTTGAATCACATGTAATTTTTGTAATGTCAGATATTGCTAAATTGGAATAATTCAATTTTCCTTTTTTATAAAAGATGAATGCTTCCTATTAACTTGACTTATGTAAAATTAACTCCTTATTCCTCAGGGATTAAAAAATCTTTAGATAAACTTTCTGAGAAAAATCTCTCCTCAATTTTTGTGTTTTTTAAGAAGTTGGAAAATTTGAGCAGAAGTGGATTCTGAATAGGAAACACACAACACACTCTATTTAAATCAGAGATGGCCTTAGAGTTACCACGTCCCTAGGATTTTTCGTCTTTGTCTTCTGTTTTTCTGTGCATGACCAAGAGAGTAACCCAGTCACGTATACTTTAAATTGATACATTGTATGTGAAAGATTTGCAGATAAAGTTGCCTAAAGTAGTAAAGCTATGATCCCATTGCAAGAATGAATGGATTTAATTGAAACTCTATGCTCCTCCTTTTCCAGTTTTCAAACTAACCATTTTTAGTAAGGAGCATAGAGAAGGGGAAAGACAGGATCCTCGCCAATTAGTACAGATGATCAACGGGAGCTGAGCAGAAGGACATTTGTTTTTAGGGTTTTTTTTCCACTTGCCCTCCTTACTTGTCCACCATGGCCATATGTCTCCCTCCTGTGGTCCCAAATGATTGGTCATCATGTACCTTACTACACGTGCCTGATTTCCTTACAGCTCTTTGGTAATAATTATATATGAGAAGTTTTGCCCAAAATGGTCCTAAAGAATAGGAACCATACTTACCTTGTGTTATTCTCTGTACATGTGCTTTTTTTAAATCATAATAAGTAATGAATTTTTTAGCATAGCTCCTCAATTATACTGTTCTGTGGACACTTTTTTTAAACTCATAATTTGAAGGTATTTGCACCTTTGCTTTTCTTCCCTATTATATTGTAAACCTCTGCAGTACAGAGCAGTATAGAGGCCTGTCATCTTTGTTATGCCTACCCCTGTTTTATCACATAAGATCTTTATTTTTATTCATTCATTCCACAAATACTTATTGACTACCTGTTATTGGATAGGCAGTAATGTATATCAAGTCTTTTTTTTAATCTCTTAGAATTTGGGGGCTGTTTTCTACTTATTTTGAAGTAGATAAGAATGTTTAAGGGGAAATTATAGTCACCAGATGAAGTTGATTACTGATAGCTTTATAAAAAATGGTTACTTGGTTCTACTTGAATAGCTGAATTGTTAGTCTCTTCAGACTACAGTTTTAAACCACCTAGTGTCATCATGTTCCACAAATCCTATCTCTCCCAAGAAAATAGAATACTGTTTAAATTTTAGAAAATTAAGATATCCTATAGATATATATTTTTTAGAGATTTATTTATTTGAGAGAGAGAAAGAGCACAGAGGGGAGGGGCAGAGGGAGAGGGAGAAAGAGTCTCAAGCAGACTCTGCACTAAGCGGGGAGGCTGACACAGGGCAGGGCTCAGTCGCATGACCCTGAGATCACGACTTGAGCTGAAACCAAGAGTCGGTCACTTAATCGACTGCACCATCCAGGCACCCGATATGATAGATTTTTATAAATAACTTAGGAGAAAAAATATATATATATATGCTTAAAAGGAGGATAGGAAGTTTTAAAAAAAGGTTATTTTACTTTTGATCCTGGAAGGGTTTTTTTTTTTTAACTTTTGAACATGAAATGTAATCTAAACCTTCAGTGGAAATACTTACAGATGCTTCAGTGAAGATTTTCTAACACAATCTGTAGGTTGTGCCAGGTAACTAGCAGTTTAATGTATTAAAACTTTTTAAAAATCAGATCATAAGAAATAAATTCTGCCTGTCACACACATGAATTTGTGTCCTTAATTTTCCCAAAGATTAATTCATTTCTTAATTCATTCAGCACATATTTGTTGTGTACATAAAGTCATCCAGTCACTGGGGATTCGAAGGTGAATAAAACATAAATTTTCCCTGGAAGGTAGTCATCACCTAGAGGGAAGAAACAAATAAGGAGATGCATTGTAATAACTTTAGGGAAGTAGGAATATGTGAACAAAGTAGTACAGTAGCCTAGGAGCTGAAGCCCCAGAATCTTCCCAGGAAGTCACATAACTAAAAGTGACATTTGTGCTGAGTTTTAAATGATGAGTAGTCATCCTCTAGGATTTCTAAATGTTAGTTATCCCCACCAAATACATGATACCTTCTCAAACCTAGGTCTGAGATCTGAGGATTTGTGTAAATCTTTCAGCCCAGACCCTAAAGGTCCCAATACAAATTATTCCAAAACTTGATAAGCAATTATTGATGACTTCTTTTTTGTTTGTTTGTTTTGTTTTATTGTGTTTTATTATGTTATGTTAATCACCATACATTACATCATTAGTTTTTGATGTAGTGTTCCATGATTCATTGTTGGCGTATAACACCCAGTGCTCCATGCAGAACATGCCCTCCTTAATACCCATCACCAGGCTAACTCATCCCCCCACCCCCCTATCCCCTCTAGAACCCTCAGTTTGTTTTTCAGAGTCCAGACTCCCAAGTGTGACAGTATTTCTTAGATTTAAAAAATAATGATAATAGGGGTGCCTGGGTGCCTCAGTCATTTAAGCATCTGACTCTTGGTTTCGGCTCAGGTCATGATCTCATGGTCCTGGGATCGAGCCCTGCTTCAGGCTCCACGTTCAGCAGGGAGTCTGCTTCTCCCTTTCCCTCTTCCCCTCCCCCTACTTTTGCTTGCTCACTCTCTCTCTCTCAAATAAATAAATCTCTAAATAAATAATGACCAAAAATACATGATTCTGTTGAAGTAGATTACAAAAAAAACCCTAAAGCACAAAAATGTTCATGTTTCATGTTTTCTAGAAATGACAGTAATTTAACATGTTAGCACTTATGTGACACCTTAAAATGTAATGAGTAAGTCCTTTAGGCTTACAGTGCTCAACTTATTTCTTAGTATTTGTGACAAATACCCTTATCTTGTATATGAACTTAGCCACCATTCTCTCCTATTAACTCCCCAGATTACCTGTTTATTCCAAGAGGTTTAGAGTTAAGATTGTAAGAGTATAGCTAGGATTTTGAGAAGCAAAGGAGAAACATGATTCAGTTCTTATTATGTGCTTTTGGTTAAATATGTATAGGGGCACCTGGGTGGCTCAGTCGTTAAGCGTCTGCCTTCGGCTCAGGTCATGATCCCAGGGTCCTGGGATCGAGCCCCGCATCGGGCTCC